CTCAGCATCTTCTTCCAGCTCGTGGAGGATTCAGCGGGGAAAGTCCTTGTAAGGACTACAGATCCCAGGACTGTGTGTCGTCCAGTGCCTGGGAGGGAATAGAGCTAGTCCCCTTTCCTGTACCAGGATGGAGAGGCTCTAGGAGGACCTCAGTCAAGCAACGGCGACTAGAGCAGAAGCGCTGAGGTTTTCCCCTGTTCAAGCTAGAAAGCGGCCCTTGGAGGAGGTACCCAGCCGGGGTACAGGGAGCTCCGCTACACCTTCCATCCTGGAGTTAGAGGGTCTTTCCAACTCGGAGTCAGAGGGTCTTCATCTATTGCCCAGTTGCTACAGTAACCAGCTTGATGTGGGCCTCACCAGTATATTAACACAACTCAAGAGGACTGACTGAAATAAAAGGGGGACCCCAACCCTCGGTTATAGAGTATGGCGAACCAGTGATTCCTGGCTGTGTGTTTCCATAATAATTACAGAGATCAGAATTAGCAGATTTCCAGCCATGAGTCAGATTCATTGCCACGGTTTAGTGAATGAGCCCCCTTTATTTTGCGACGTTTCTTACTTACTGCCTTCAGCTGACTTCGCATTACTTTAACATTCCGGATGTAGTTCTGAAATCGCTCCTTAATATCCTGAAGTTGGACATTCTCAGAGTTTGGCCGCAGCATGTTCTCGTTAGCAGTGATCATAATTATTCTGTGTAATTCAAATCATGGTTTAATGTTATTCATATCATCCAATCAGTAATTATCTCGCTAACCGGCAATCAAAATCGATATATGTAATGGGTCCTATGTGTTATTATATCACAGAGCTCTGTAATACATCTATACACACTGCTTGTAACAGGGAGTTTTATTGCTATGGAGCTCTGTGATACATTTATACACATTGCCTGTAACATGGAGTATATTGCTGTGGAGCTCTGTGATACATTTATACACATTGCCTGTAACAGGGAGTGTATTGCTGGGGAGCTCTGTGATACATTTATACACATTGCCTGTAACAGGGAGTGTATTGCTGTGGAGCTCTGTGATACATTTATACACATTGCCTGTAACAGGGAGTTTTATTGCTATGGAGCTCTGTGATACATTTATACACATTGCCTGTAACAGGGAGTGTATTGCTGGGGAGCTCTGTGATACATTTATACACATTGCCTGTAACAGGGAGTGTATTGCTGTGGAGCTCTGTGATACATTTATACACATTGCCTTTAACAGGGAGTATATTGCTGTGGAGCTCTGTGATACATTTATACACATTGCCTGTAACAGGGAGTGTATTGCTGGGGAGCTCTGTGATCCATTTATACACATTGCCTGTAACAGGGAGTGTATTGCTGTGGAGCTCTGTGATACATTTATACACATTGCCTGTAACAGGGAGTGTATTGCTGGGGAGCTCTGTGATACATGTATACACATTGCCTGTAACAGGGAGTGTATTGCTGTGGAGCTCTGTGATACATTAATACACACTGCCTGTAACAGGGAGTGTATTGCTGTGGAGCTCTGTGATACATTTATGCACATTGCCTGTAACAGGGAGTTTATTGCTGTGGAGCTCTGTGATACATTTATGCACACTGCCTGTAACAGGGAGTTTATTGTTGTGGAGCTCTGTGATACATTAATACACACTGCCTGTAACAGGGAGTTTATTGCTGTGGAGCTCTGTGATACATTTTCACACACTGCCTGTAACAGGGAGTTTATTGCTGTGGAGCTCTGTGATACATTAATACACACTGCCTGTAACAGGGAGTTTATTGCTGTGGAGCTCTGCGCTACATTTATACACACTGCCTGTAACAGGGAGTTTATTGCTGTGGAGCTCTGCGCTACATTTATACACACTGCCTGTAACAGGGAGTTTATTGCTGTGGAGCTCTGCGGTACATTTATACACACTGCCCGTAACCGGGAGATTATTGATGTGGAGCTCTGTTAATATCAGTGCAGAATGCCTGTAACAGGGAGTTTAATTGATATATAGCTCCATGAAACACACACCCTACATACAGCTGTGAGTTTTATTGCTATGGAGCTCTATGAGACCCTCATAAACAATGCACATTACTGTGTTATATTGTTGTGAAGCTCTGTGATTAAATTTTAGACACAGTCCATTAATGTGAGTTTTATTACTGTGGAGCTCTGTGATTTAATATTACACACTGTTCATTACTGTGAGTTTTATTACTGCAGAGCTCTGAGATATAATTATACATAGGACCCATTACTGTGAGTTTTATTGCTGTGGAGCTCTGTGATTTAATAATACATAGGACCCATTACTGTGAGTTTTATTGCTGTGGAGCTCTGTGATATAATAACACATAGGACCCATTACTGTGAGTTTTATTGCTGTGGAGCTCTGGGATATAATAATACATAGGAACCATTACTGTGAGTTTTATTGCTGTGGAGCTCTGTGATATAATAACACATAGGACCCATTACTGTGAGTTTTATTGGGGTGGAGCTCTGTGATATAATAATACATAGGACCTGTTACTGTGAGTTTTATTGCTGTGGAGCTCTGTGATATAATAATACATAGGACCCATTACTGTGAGTTTTATTTATAGAGCTCTGTGATATAATACATAGGACCTGTTACTGTGAGTTTTATTGCTGTGGAGCTCTGTGATATAATAATACACATAGGACCTGTTACTGTGAGTTTTATTGCTGTGGAGCTCTGTGATATAATAATACACATAGGACCTGGTACTGTGAGTTTTATTGCTGTGGAGCTCTGTGATATAATAATACACATAGGACCTGTTACTGTGAGTTTTATTGCTGTGGAGCTCTGTGATATAATAATACACATAGGACCTGTTACTGTGAGTTTTATTGCTGTGGAGCTCTGTGATATAATAATACACATAGGACCTGTTACTGTGAGTTTTATTGCTGTGGAGCTCTGTGATAGCCATAAGAGGATCAGGGGGTTTGGATTTAAAGAGATACTGACCTCATTAAGACTTTTTAATACAGAGAATCCCACTTACCTCCAGTTGTGGGGGACGCTGACGCGGGGTATACTGCCAGTAAATTCCACTCAGAATATTCTCATTTTATCCAGCAGAGTTTCCTATGGCCGGGAGAGATTTGTTGATGGTTGCCAATGGTAACAGGAGTGATTGAAGTTTACAATGGGGGTGGGGCAGTTTGGTGACCATGGGATCCATTGTCCTTTCTACTCTGTGTGTCAACAATGTAACCCTTTCAGTGCCAGGGGGCTGAGAATCCTGTATAGAATGGGTTAACCCTTCTAACAATTCAACTATTCATTACAAATACAGTGTATAAACCCAAACCCTTCCACTCAAATACAAACTTTATTACCACAAAAAGAGGCTCCCGGACAGACGCTCATTCTAACTTCGGCTGTTTTATTAACTAAAGAGGGAATGATGAGGAAGGGAGCAGACACTTCAAAAAAATAGCTAAATGGGAAAAATCAAACCCAGTTCCAGCTCGGGGATTTTTACAGCTTGCCCCAAATCTCCCAATTCCCAGTTTAGTAAATAGACTCTTCCGACAGAGCTTAGATTTCCTTCCAGGTACAGGGTTACTCACTAAAATGACAATTGTCGGGAATTCAAAGTGAGTTTTACATTTAGGCCAAAATCGGTGAATTGGAAGATTTCCCCGTCTCTGCTTGGCTTCCAATTCTCATATTTTGGCTTTGAATTTGAGTCTCTCGGGCTAATCCATGTCTTCGTGCTCAATACATATATTTACCAGTCGTCACAGAAAATGTATTCATTTAAATTCTTTACTTTATCCATAAACTTACATGTTTTGGGGTGTTAATCGGTGAGACAATTCCTATAATCAATCAGTGTATTCCTGGAAGCCAAGCTACTCAAAATCTCTGGGGAAAACGAGGGAATTGTTGCAGAATTTTTGATAACAGAGTTTAGCAAACCGGTGATACTTTGTATCCTAAACATGAAACTCCAAACAGGTAGAGACAGACAGAACCCACAAACCACAAACGCTTACCCTGTAAATTCAATGCATTTTGCCAAACCCGACGCTGTTTACACACAGGAGATACATTTCCACGCGTTTAGTTGGATGTGATAAACAGTAATTAAGGATACAATTGCTTATTCTTTATTTACCCACTTATTTAGTCTCAAAATGCAGACAATCAAATGAACCCATTAGAGACAAGAAGACAATCTATGTATCATCAGCGCGACCATATGTCACATTTTACTGCGCAACATCTGTACAGCGAGGCTGCTTTCAAAGCTGGACGCTGTTACTTTAACCTCTATCTAGAACGTCCACTAGAGGTGCTTTCTGAGTCAGTGCTGCACAGTTTGCAGAACCTTCGTTAGTCTCCACGCTCTGCATGGATACGCTTACTGCTCCGCGTAGAGATGTATTGATTCAATGGATCTGTATGAGGAGATGATGACTGGCGCAGCTTTTTGCTGCGCATGCACAATAGCCTCCCAATACTTTCCTATGGGTGAGCATTGGATTGGCTGAGATCAACAAGAGTGATTATCTCAGTCATGGAGGCAGGGCCAGCTGCAGTACAACCAGCGCCGCATGGGAAAAAGACCTTTCTCATACAATCAGAAGGGGGCAGATCACCTAAATAGTTCCATATTTGTATTTCTGACACTATAGTGTTCCTTTAAGGCCCGATAACCTCAACTGAAACCCTAGGGAATCTTTTCAGTTTGGCTATTTTAAATCATAAACTAACCAACCCCCTCATCCTTGCCAAAGATGGTAGCTCAGCAATAAGATCCTTTAATATATTTATATATAACTGCACACAGTGGGATGGCCAGGCACCACTATATGTTAAATCAAAGCAGTAGCATTACATATATAGTATATATATACGGTTACAATCTCTACTTTATATGTATGATAACTTTAAAAAAAAAACTTCTCAATTAAGTGAGCAACCCAATTACCATTACTGGTATTGACTATCAGGGCAGTATAGCCATGGCCAATAGTATTGACTATCGGGGCAGTATAGCTATGGTCAATGGTATTGACTATTGGGGCAGTATATCTATGGCCAATGGTATTGACTATCGGGGCAGTATAGCTTTTGCCAATGGTATTGACTATCGGGGCAATATAGCTATGGCCAATGGTATTGACTATCGGGGAAGTATAGCTGTGACCAAAGGTATTGACTATCGGGACAGTATAGCTATGGCCAATGGTATTGACTATCAGGGCAGTATAGCTATGGCCAATGGTACTGACAATCGGGGCAGTATAGCTATGGCCAATGGCATTGACTATCAGGCAGTATAACTATGGCAGTATAGTTGTGGCCAATGGTATTTAATGTCGGGGTAGTATAGCTATGACCAATTGTATTGACAATCAGGCAGTATAGCTATGGCTAATGGTATTGACTATTGGGGCAGTATAGCTACGGTCAATGGTATTGACTATCTGGGCAGTATAGCTGTGGCCGATGGTATTGACTATCAGGCAGTATAGCTGTGGCCAATGGTATTGACTATCGGGGCAGTATAGCTATGGCCAATGGTATTGATTATCGGGGCAGTGTAGCTATAGCCAATGGTATTAACTATCGGGGCAGTATAGCTATAGCCAATGGTATTGACTATCGGGGGAACTATAGCTATAGCCAATGGTATTGACTATTGTGGCAGTACAGCTATAGCCAATGGTATTGACTATTGGGGCAGTATAGCTATAGCCAATGGTATTGACTATTGGGGCAGTATAGCTATAGCCAATGGTATTGACTATTGGGGCACTATAGCTATGGCCAATAGTATTGACTATCGGGGCAGTATAGCTATGGCCAATGTTATTCCCCCAATGTGTCCTGTTATTGGAAGTGCGCTGCTATTAAGGACGCCGATGCAGATTGACAGATGGCAGGAAATAGGTGAATCATTGGCTTCGACTATTGTTTAACTTTCTGCTTGAAGAACGAGGTCTTATAATAAACCTAATTTTCATGTTTCCATAGAAACTGTATATATGTTTATCTTTTGTAAATTATGTTAATGTAAAGCAAAGTTGGCGGTAATGAATGCATTTCACAATATTTCAGAGAGCACACGCAGCTGCAGAATAATATATTACTGAATATGTATAACTGATAAAGGTGCATGTTATAACTGCCGGTATCCTCTCTGTCTCACTGCCTGTTGGTCTGTCTGTCTCACTGCCTGTCTGCCTGTCTATAAGAACAGCAATCACAAAGTGCTGACGGTTTTTTTCAGTTAAAAAACTGTAATAATTTTCAAAAATGACACATTATTCCGGATGCTGTGTTACTTCATTTACTTGTATAAAACTTCCATCCAGACGTGGCCTGCTAGGTAAAACTAACAGGATTGTGTTTTGCTGCACTCTAATATTTAGATAAAAGAGCACACATAGATTATGACGCATCATGTGATAGAACATGGATATCTGTACCTGCATGGCCCCTGTATTAAAGCACCCAGAGGGGCAGGCAGCCATTACTGTGATACATGTTTCAGTCGCTGACCAGAATTCCAGCTCAGCTCTCATTGAATGGAGAGCAGCCAGTAAGACTGTGGGTTTCATTTTATTAGCTTTCTTTCTGCAGTAAAACATTCATAATATAAATTATTAACCTAACTTCATTTTTCTAAAATAAATTGTTTAATGAACCCTGTGCGTAACAGTTATTTATTTGGATTTATTCATTACATTGAGCGTTGCAAACAAATGACAACGGAATTGAACATTTGGGCAATTTTGGAAAAATGGATTTGTAGAATTTTTGTGATATACTGGTATATTCCGGATAAGATTTTACATTAGTAATACGGTATTAAAGGAACCGTCTGGACTCCATGACATCTTAGTTTCGATGAAGTTGTTATGGTGCCCATACAGATCCTTTAATGATGATAATAATGTACATTACGGAAGATTTATCGAGGAAAAAAATAATTGCGTATCTTCCATCTCCTCGTCCTTCCTGCGTTCCAAATCCTTCATTGTGATTTTTTTAAAATATAACCCAATTATAGAAAAACTCTAAAAACGGTATTTTCTGAGCCCCGCTTTGCCAATATCTGAAAGGCATCAAGAAACTTAATTATCTTAAATCTGTCATCCAATCTGTCTCTCGGTGGGGGAAACCACGGACTCCTAGTCTGCAAGGAGCTGCAAATTAACTCCAATGGGCAGAGAGCAGAATCCGTGCTTTTACACATCAAAAAAGGCCATTCTTCCCCAGTAAGGTATTGATTTAGATTGCAGTCCTGTTAGTTATTGACAAGAGTAGGAAGTGTAACGGGGTGGGGGGAGGGGGGGCTGAGCAGGGTGGGTGAACATTTTCAAGGCATACAAAGTGACTGTTCTTCTAATGCAGTGATTTTTTTAACTTCTGAGTCAGGACCTAAATTAATTCCTCGTGCTACTTTAGTGAGTCACCATGAATTATCTTTGGCTCCGTCATGCCCAAAGTAATGGATTGAAAACCCCTCTAACAATAAAAAGCATATTTTACTATGTATCCCTGCATACCTGCCAATACTGGTATACCTCCTAACATTTCACATGGACAGAGGGACACTTTCATTCCTGGGGTGTGAATGGGGACGTGGACTGTTCCGAGAAATTTTAGGTGACCTACCAATAACAATTTATAGAACTAAAATGTAATTTAGAACAAGAACAATGTGTCTTATTTACTATTAGCTGGATATTGTTTTGGGAATTCATGGGAGGACTACTGGAAGTTGGGGAGAGTTACTGGGGGCTGGGGGAGTTACTGTGAGTTGGGGAGTTACTGTGTTTTGTTTTGAGAGTTACTGGGAGTTGGGGTTGTTTTGGGAGTTACCGGAAGCTAGGGGGTTTATTGAAAGTTGGGGGGGAGTTACTGGGAGCTGGGGGGGTCTACTGGGGGCTGGGGGAGTTACTGGGAGCTGGCTTTGTTTTGGAAGTTACTCGAGTGGCGAAGGTGCTACTGGAAGTTGGGGGGAGTTACTGGAAGCGATACTAGGAGCTAGTGGGAGTAATTGGGGACTGGTGGTTATTTTGGAAAATACTATGGGCTGGGGGAGTTTATGGGGGCTAGGGCTTTATTGGGGGGAGTTACTGGGAGCTGGAGGGGAGTCATTGGGAGCAGGTGTTAATTTGGGAGTTACTAGGAGCTAGGGTGAAGTTATTAGGAACGGAGAGGGGAGTTACTGGGAGCGGGTTGGGGAAGTTACTGGAAGCTAGAGGGAAGTTTTGGGAGTTGCTGGGAGCTGAGGGGGAGTTACTGGGGGCTCATGCCACTGGGGGCTGAGGAGGAGCACTGGGGGGCTGAGGGGAGGAGCTGGGGCTGAGGAGAGTTACTGGGGGCTGAGGGAGAACACCACTGGGGGCTGGTTTTGGAAGCCACTGGGGGGGCTGGAGGGAGGAGTTACTGGGGGCTGGTGGGGAGCTACTGAGGGTTGTCTCCCAGGCTACTGGGGGGGCTGAGGAGAGCTACTGGGGGCTGAGGGAGAGCCACTGGGGCTGATGATGAGTTACTGGGGCTGTTTTGGGGAGGGGCTGAGGGGCAGCCACTGGGGCTGGTTTTGGGAGTCACTGGGATGCTGAGGGGCTACTGGGGGGCTGAGGAGGAGTTACTGGGGGTTGTTTTGGGAGTTACTGTGAGCTGGCTTTGTTTTGGAAGTTACTCGAGTGGCGAAGGTGCTACTGGAAGTTGGGGGGAGTTACTGGGAGCGATACTAGGAGCTAGTGGGAGTAATTGGGAACTGGGGGTTATTTTGGAAAATACTGTGGGCTGGGGGAGTTTATGGGAGCTAGGGCTTTATTGGGGGGAGTTACTGGGAGCTGGAGGGGAGTCATTGGGAGCAGGTGTTATTTTGGGAGTTACTAGGAGCTAGGGTGAAGTTATTAGGAACGGAGAGGGGAGTTACTGGGAGCGGGTTGGGGAAGTTACTGGGAGCTAGAGGGAAGTTTTGGGAGTTGCTGGGAGCCGAGGGGAAGTTACTGGGGGCTGTTTTGGGCATTACTGGGGGGCTGAGGAGGAGTTACTGGGGGGGCTGATGGAGAGTTACTGGGGGGCTGAGGGAGAGTTACTGGGGGGCTGAGGGAGAGTTACTGGGGGTTGTTTTGGGAGCTGGAGGGGCTTACTGGGAGTTCCTGTGGGCCGGGCTGGGAGTTAGTGGGGGGCCGGATTGGGACAGGCTGGGAGTTAGTGGGGGGCCGGGCTGGGACAGGCTGGGAGTTAGTGGGGGCCGGGCTGGGACAGGCTGGGAGTTAGTGGGGAATGGATTGGGACAGGCTGAGAGCGGCAAATGGCTGACAGGCTGGAGCTAGTGGGGGCCGGCTGGGAGTTAGTGGGAATGGCTGGGACAGGCTGGGAGTTAGTGGAACCTGGCTGGGACAGGCTGGGAGTTAGTGGGGGGCCGGCTGGGACAGGCTGGGAGTTAGTGGGGGGTCGGCTGGAGTTAGTGGGAAATACACAAAGTGGGAGTTAGGTGGGGGTCGGCTGGGGATTAGTGGGGGGGCCGGGCTTGGAGTTAGTGGGGGCCAGGCTGGGACAGGGTGGGAGTTAGTGGGGGGACCGGGCTGGGACAGGCTGGGAGTTAGTGGGGGGCCGGGCTGGGACAGGCTGGGAGTTAGTGGGGGCCGGGCTGGGACAGGCTGGGAGTTAGTGGGGGTTGTTTTGGGAGTTACTGGGGGGCTGAGGGAGAGTTACTGGGGGGCTGAGGAGGAGTTACTGGGGGTTGTTTTGGGAGTTACTGTGAGCTGGCTTTGTTTTGGAAGTTACTCGAGTGGCGAAGGTGCTACTGGAAGTTGGGGGGAGTTACTGGGAGCGATACTAGGAGCTAGTGGGAGTAATTGGGAACTGGGGGTTATTTTGGAAAATACTGTGGGCTGGGGGAGTTTATGGGAGCTAGGGCTTTATTGGGGGGAGTTACTGGGAGCTGGAGGGGAGTCATTGGGAGCAGGTGTTATTTTGGGAGTTACTAGGAGCTAGGGTGAAGTTATTAGGAACGGAGAGGGGAGTTACTGGGAGCGGGTTGGGGAAGTTACTGGGAGCTAGAGGGAAGTTTTGGGAGTTGCTGGGAGCCGAGGGGAAGTTACTGGGGGCTGTTTTGGGCATTACTGGGGGGCTGAGGAGGAGTTACTGGGGGGGCTGATGGAGAGTTACTGGGGGGCTGAGGGAGAGTTACTGGGGGGCTGAGGGAGAGTTACTGGGGGTTGTTTTGGGAGCTGGAGGGGCTTACTGGGAGTTCCTGTGGGCCGGGCTGGGAGTTAG